TTTTCTATTATTGTAAAGATACATTTATCAATTACTATTTTTGTTATTAATGATTTATATAGATAATTAAGTTTTTAATTTATAAAGGATAATTCTGTTGTGTGTGTGATGTGACAATAATTATGTAGAATAATATGATAATTTACATATTTATAAATTCGTTTTTAGAAATTAAAATGAAAAGATAAGATTTAATATAATTGTCATTTATCATAAATTTTCTTAATCAGATAATTCTTGAAAATTCCAGAATTCTATGTCTGCAGGTATATAGGAATGCTATTGGTAATTCATTGTTCATAAACTTAGGATTTAATTATATTTAATTTGGTTGATTACATACATAAATAGATGCATTTTGAGCTGATTTACATTATACAGCCCCTATCGGTAATTTGCAAGTTGGCATGAAATTCATCTACAGTCAAACCTCAGTTTTCAAACTTAATTCATCAAGTTTGAAAACATTAATTCTAAAACTGATTTGTTCTGAAACCAAAACAAATGTTCTTACAGGAAACAATATAAAATGGATTAACTGTTCCTGATCCCCAAAACAGTCTCTTTTTTTACTTTTTTAGCTATATTTCCTGTATAAAAATGCCTATAAATGCAATAATATTATATATAATACTATCTACATCTATTCTATATATATAAAAATCAAAATGTTCCATCACTACCAACTGAAATTAACACTTTACAAAGAAGTGCTATAAATAGAGATCCAACTCTGACTTCCTGGATGAAATATAACCAAATCAATCAAGACAGACAAGTACTTTATCCACACTTTCTGAAATATTATGCTTCAGTTGATTTGATTTCAATTTTCATTGAAATGAATTAATTAATTTTATTTTTAGTTTCAGTTTATAAGTCAGAGTTTTAATTATTATTTTATTATTTTTAGTTTAATTACTGGCTACCTAGTATTATTAATATTATAATATATAATATTATGTTAATAAATTTTTGTCATTTAAGTTAACTTAAGCATATTTAAACATAAATTCTTGGATGCCATTTATATTATACAAATGTCAATTAATGTAGTTTGTATTAATTAATTTGATTTAGATTCAACTACAGCACCTACCAAGAAGGAAAATATTATTTTTCCTGCATGCACATTGAAATCGAATTTAAATAGCAATGTCATCAATGATTTTTGTTGTAATGTCTAATGATACAGGAAATTTCTGCATCACTAACTTCTGAATTGGTAATCCTGTCAATATACAAAGCCTACGAATTATCATCGCCCATCAATGCCAAAGATGAAATCACCTTATCGTTAGCGTGGCAAGCCCTAATACAGAAAGAAGATTCAAATTAAATCGACATCAGTGCTTATAATAAATTAAGGAATAACAACACACATTTTCTCTGAATTTCGACATGCTCAAATGGATTTATTCATAAAAATTACGTAATCCATCATACAAGTAGACGATCATTACGTAGCGACTGAAGATTTGAAGACACGTGATTCCCAATGGAACTTGAAATACGATATTTAAAATTTCGTTCCAAAGACAGCTGACATTCTAACAGATCGTTGCAAATAGAACATAGTCTGATGAAGGACCCAGTGGAATCCGAAAATGTTAGCATAAGCAATTGAACATATTTCATGCCGGTTATTGGTTTTTAGAAAGATTATTTTTAGAAAGATTAATCCTGTCTTTGATTGATTGGGTTATTGACTTTCTTTAACATAGGAAATATAGGGAATTGACTATCTGTGTCTCTTATCTTTGGCAGACTCTTGCTGAGTAACTTGGATGGCAACTGGGGCAAATATACATTCAAAATTTTGTGATCTGAATTGTTCAAAAAGTGAGATGTTCAAGATCCAAGGTTTGAATGTATTTATGTATGTAATCAACCAAATTAAATATAATTAAACCCTAAGTTTTGGATCATTGAATTATCAATAGCATTCCTGTATACCTGCATATACAGGATTATTGAATTTTCAAGAATTATCTAATTGGAATATAGCCTGTGATCCCAACAAGAAAGGAAATAATTTTCTTAATTAACAATAATAATAATAATAATAATAATAATAATGTTAGGAAATTCCTGAATACTGACACTGACACTGACACTGACACAGACACACTTATTTAATTTTAGTTTTGTTTTGGTTGCTATGCCTTGACTCTGGTCCGGCATAGTACACAGCCACCGGTTTAACCGAGTATAACCCACTGAACCCAACACAATAATAATAATGACTTGAAAAATAACTTTTGATAATATGTGCAATATGATAAAAAAAAAAAAATACACATTTCAAATATATTATGGTCTTGTTTTATGTGGGATTGATGTGTGCCAGGGGTGGGCAACTCTTAGTCTGCATGTCAAACATGGCACACCAATGATTTTTCAAGCATGCAACCCAGGTCTTAGCTAAGATGTTGGATTTTATTTTTTAAGATAAGTTGTACATTTTAACTTAATATAATACAATTCTATTGAAGTATAGCAATACAAAATAAAAATGTATTAAAAAAAAACAACTGTTTTATTAATACTAATTAATAAAAAAATAAAACAAACATCGTATTTCCAAGACATTATTTCTGTGATATACTGACTTACAAGTAGATTGTCAATTTACTAGAAAATTTATTAAATCTAGTTTTTCCTTAGTGTTGACTAGCTGTTAGATCAAATAATTGTTTTGATCTCTAATATATTGGAATATATTGAGTCTGGGTGTATGTTATTGAAATTAAGGACTGTATAATTCTACTTAGAACAAAATGATGATTTTAATAACAACTAAGGATCAGTGCCAGTATGGCTGACGAGGTACAGATGTACTACAGTTTAGTGATGACATGATATAGTTCTAATGACAAACATTAATTTCTAAACTTATTACTAAAATACTAAACTAATTTGCGTTAAATCTACATACAATTATTTACAAGATGATAAACACGTGCTGCAACAACTTTCCTTTGTTCTTCTATTAGATGAACTTCCAAATCTCACCGATCGTCAGACAACAGTTCATGACTCTCCACTAATGCACTTTCTATATGTAGACATATCTAATATATATCACTATCATACATTTGCAATATCAATATTACTTGGGTCTGTTAACTATAAACTGTCCGTACATGCACACCACGAAGCTGTTGATGATAAGTTCTTAAAGATGGAAATGGATTACAGTATAGTACCTCCACTTGATGTATTCAATCCTTGGCTGCCTCTTCTATCTCCTGCTACCAGACGAATTATATCAAACTGCAAAGCGAACAACCAAAAAAGTTCCTTCACACACTAGACGGTCCAATTTATACTCCCCCTCATTCATGAATGCTCTCTTAACACATGACCCCGTTCTTGACTAATTAGGCTACACCAGTTGGTGTAGCAAGAAAGGTGATACAGCATAATATTCTGCGGACATTTATACAAAAAGTAGATCCCGACACGTGGTAATGGAAGATAATTAATATATACAAATTATATTAATATTTAAGCATACATAAAACAATAATAAAGTAGCGCAGCACTACATAATAATATGTTCCCAAAAATTTTGGTTGGCATTTGAGAAAATTTTGCACTATAGATTTAGCAATTTTGGCATGCACACCCCTGATATATGCAAATATTTCATATTTTTGTATATAGTGAATAATTGGAGTAACTCTTGGGTGCATGGTAATTTAGAATACTAATGTACTGTGCATACTGACTATTTTTATTATGAAATTCAATAGACATTTGTTTGAAACATTTTAAATACATTTGATATGCAACCATCCAAAGCAATGGAAAAATAAGTGTCTGGGCAATCATCTGATACTACTTGAGTGGAACAAAAATTTATACAGTATGCAACCATCATGTATAATAAAACTATACTATAGTTTTATTTAGAAAATGAACAGAACTAAGAGAATATGGTTTCTAACTTATAAAAGAGCAATGCAAAAATTTTTTTCCTCATTATAATTTACTTGTTTGTTTTGTTGTTCATTCAGTGCCCATTTCTATATTTAAATTCCTGAAAAATATTTGATTCCTTCCACACAACATAATTATGATCTTTTATTATATAGCATAGTATATTATAAAACATTTTGAAACAATAGAAAATTAGAAGTTACTAAATAGGCTAATTAGGGTTGATTAATTTATATATACAGAAATTGAATTACAGACTTGTTGCATTTTTAGTCAATGCTAAATATTCTACTCAATTGGATTTTATCAAATAGAAATCACTCTCTTCAAGTAAACTGCCTACCTTTTTAAAGATGATAAAAAGATTAATCTCTAAACTCTTGGATATGAACATTAAATTAATTTGAATAATAAGATTGATGATAATTAACCAAAATAAATTTATAAAGCTGTCTTCAAATTCTTGATAGTCAAGGTATATATATGATGATTGATGCATTTGAAATTAATTTAAAGTCAGGATGCATCAGAAACATTAATGCATAAATTACAGATTTTTAGAATTATTAATAAGCTTTGATTCATTATTATTATTATTTTTAATCAATTAAAGAATTGAAGATATTTTAAACGATTTATTTCCATTATCCATTATACTAACTGGCATGACAATCAAATTAGTTTTCACCAACATAATAATATTCAAAAATAGATAGAAAATGTATATTTATGACTTAGGAAAAAATCTACTAATTAAATATAATGTGACCAGTTTTGTTCTAATGATTTTTTTGTTCTTTCTGATTTATTCATTCTGTAAAAATCTTCAGTTAAGCTAAATTTATAGGTTTTTTTTTTAAGTTAACTTTAATATTTTAGTTTGATTTGAATTTGCAAAATTATATATTATTTTAACCTATATTAATCATTTTATAAGGCAATAACAAGTATTTTCATTATTCTTGAAAATTAAATTTATAAGTTGATTTTTTCTTTGTGTAAAACTATTGTTAATATTTATAGATAATGAAATATTCCTATTTTTCTTGTTTTAGAAATGGATGAAAATATTCCTGAAAAGAATAAAAACAAACAATCTGAAAGTGATATCAAAGAGAATGAAACATGTTCTCATACTAATGAAATTAATGAGAATAACAATAAGCAAGTTAATTATAAAACAAAAGCAGAAAATGATTCTGTTTCAGAAAAGGAACAAGAAAGTAGAAGGAAAGTTCAACATATTACAATTCCCAGTTCTCCTTTAGGTGGAATTTTATTTCCAGGAGTGCCAGGTATAGCTTATTTATTATATTTTGTATAATAATAATAATAATAATAATCAGAACACAGTTAAATGCAAAACACACAGTTAAAGCAATAAACACATATGTCGTCCCAGTACTCACATACTCTTTTGGAGTTATACATTGGACTCACACAGATCTTGAGCAACTCCAAAGGAAAACAAGAACAATGCTTACTAAGCATAAACAACATCATCCTAAATCCGCCACAGAAAGATTAACCCTTCCACGTAAAGATGGCGGACTTGGTCTGATTGACATAGTTAACCTTCACTACAAACAGATACAGTCACTGCGAGAGTTTTACTACAGGAAACAAGAAACATCACAATTACATAAAGCAGTAACTCTAGCAGACTGAAGTAGCACACCATTAAACTTAAACTCACATCATACAGACATGACACAACACATAAAAAGCATAGACACCATCAAGCAATCGTGGGCTCGAAAGGCACTCCATGGCAGGCATCCTTATGACCTGGTTCAGGATTTTGTTGACAAAACTGTGTCAAACAGCTGGTTAGATCGGGGATGCCTCTTTGGGGAGACGGAAGGATTCATGATTGCCATACAGGATCAGGTCATAAATACTAAAAACTACAGAAAACACATACTCAAAGATACAACACTCACAAATGACACATGCAGAAAATGTCACATCATGCCAGAAACTATACAACACATCACTTCTGGTTGCAAGCTCTTGGCACAGACAGATTACTTACATAGACACAATCAAGTAGCAAATATAATACACCAAGAGCTTGCAAAGAAACACAAATTGGTAGACATCCACGAACCATACTACAAGTATATTCCACAGACAGTATTGGAAAACAACACGCACAAAATGTACTACGACAGAGCCATAATCACAGATAAAACAATTTACCACAACAGACCAGACATCACACTCATTGACAAACACAATAAAATCACATACATTATAGACATAGCCATTCCAAACACTCACAATGTACAAAACACATGCACTGAAAAAATTAGCAAGTACACAGAACTCGCCCAGGAAATAAGGCATCTGTGGAGGATGGATAGGGTGCTTATTGTACCTGTTGTTCTCTCCTGTACAGGTGTGATACCACACACACTACACAAAAGCCTGGGAACATTACAATTGAGTAGAAATACATACATCACACTACAGAAGGCCACTATATTGAATACATGCCACATTGTTAGGAAATTCCTGAATACAGACACACACACTGACACACTTATTTAATTTTAGTTTTGTTTTGGTTGCTATGCCTTGACTTTGGTCCGTCATAGTACACAGCCATTGGTGTGAAATAACTGAGTATAACTCACAAAACCCAACATAATAATAATCACCACTTGGTTGTGGTGAGAGAGGCCAGTAAGTTTGCTGATCCATAGAACAATGCCAGCTGGAGCACAAGCTCCTGGTAGGGACACCCATGCCAGTAAGGTCTATGGGGAGAAATGAAGCTAAGAGTGACCATACCCACATTCTATAGAGATATTTACCATCGGTATCACACTTAGACCTGGTTACTACCAGGTTTAAGTGTGATACTGGCTTGGATGTTGCCTGGATTAACAAGGTATGTGTTCATGAATTAGGCAGAGGCTCACATTCAAAAAATAGGCCACAGTCTCCTTTAGCTACCAGTGGTGAAAGCATGTACCTTCAACAGATGTGAGAACAACCTAGCCTTGGTGTTTCTGTGGCAATGCATCCACAGAGTACAAAGGTTGGAAAACCATACCAATGATTGAAATGGACAACCGAAATGAACAAGTTTATCATCCATACTTACTACATCATCACAAGACTGAAAACGAACATGACAGCATATAGATAACAGCTACATCATAGATTCACACAACAATATCCTCACCTCATTGTCACCAAACAAAGGGTTGTCGATCAAAAAAGAACAATTATACACAACAACCTTATTCCGCTAGCAACAATCTATTTGTTGTATTTGATGTATTTGATCAGCAACCTATTGTTTGAACTTATCAAACAATAGGTTGCTGATCAAATACATCAGCATACAGAAATTAATGAAGATCACATAACCTACCAAGATAATCCAGTAAAAAGCACTGATAATAGCACACACACAACGACAACAACTACTACTACTAATGATACTACAGAAACTTCCTCATCCATCACTGATAACATAGACATAAATTTAGTTAATATGCTCTCACTTTTATTTCAGGAAACACTCACCAAATATACAGATACAGATTCCACACAATAACCATGAATACCAAAAATCAATATATCTAAGACAGTAGGAAAAACACTAAATTATGTTAACATTCTCTTACTTCCACACTACATTCATTTAATTTCTATACTCAGATATTCATACATTAGTTAATGCTGGGGCAGTCACAGTAGTGACATGCCATGGACTGAATATACAATTGCAGACAGATACGTACAAAATACAATTCTATCACAAGCCTGCATGGCAGAGAAGAATAGAAACACAAATAAATGACATCAGACAGCAATTAGGCAGGCTGACACAATACACTAAAAACAACATAACACCCAAATTAAAAAAACAACTCAAAAACATTTTCAAGAAAATCAAAACACACACAAAACACGAACATCACAACACACACATTACAGAATACGTCGATACACTAAAACAAAAACTTATAATCAAAACATAGACTCAAATGGTAAAAAACATGTTCATTACGAATACAACAAAATAAATTATTTGCAAACAATGAAAAACTCTTTTATAGACAAATTAGTATCAAAACAATCACTAATGCACAGCACAATGGCACACCAACAGAAGAAGAACTCACAAATTATTGGTCTTTTTTTTGTCTAGTGCTGTCATGTGCAATGCCAATGCAGGCTGGATCGAGGAGGAGAATAAAAACTTGCACAACATGCCAACTATGCCCTGTGCTGAAATAAACATACACTACCAATCAATGGTACGTATGTTTGTACCATTGATTGGCACTCAGGCACACAACAATTGTTTTTACTTTTTGTATTTCTCATAATAACATTTGTAACACACTATGAGGGTTGAATCTAACCTTGACTATAATAGTTGCAAAAGTCTGTGCAAGTCTGACTCCTGGATGTTAATTAGTTTATCACATTACAGTAGAGCATCGATTATCCGAAAGAATTCCAGTTGGCAAATTAAAATTTTTGCCAGTGCTGTGGTGCTGCAATCTTTGGCTATGTGTTGGGCTACTCAAATATTTTACGTTTTTGATACTAAATTAACTTTTGAAGTATAATTTTTTATTGTTTTTATATTTTTCAATATATTTATTTTGTTTGTACAAAATAAAAAAATAATTTTTAACGATACAATAGTCTTCGTTAGGCTTAACATCGACGAAAATTCAACGCGAAGCGACATACAACAGAGAAAAATTTCAACATGGGATAAATTAATATATTTTTTCATACATAATTGGTTATCCGAAAGTGGCAATTTAGAGAGAAGA